CTTTCTGCTGCTGCGGACAAGAAAGCCAAACAACTCACGTTCACCGAGGCATCAACCTCCAAAACCCTTTCGAGGGCTACAAGAAACGAAGTGAGTAGCCTACAAGATTGAAGCTGGTCAGATAACGAACGAGTAAATGAAAACAGAATGAGGCGGAGAAGTGTGTGTGTGTGTGTGTGTGTGTGTGTGTGTGTGTGTGTGTGTGTGTGTGTGTGTGAGATTAAAATAGCCCAATTGCTTTTACAATAAATAAACATTGAATGTGTTTAATTGAATAGTAAAGGGGTTTAACGTTAGTGGCAGGTTGTGTGTGAGAGAGAATAAATAAGACAGCCCAATATTTAAAAAAATTGTTATTCTTTTTCCCCGCATATTTAGCATATTTCGCAACTTTCCGCATATTTCGCAACTTCCCGCAATTTCACCGCATAAAATCACATAAAAACCCCGCATATTTAATCGCATAATCAAGGATTTTTGCCCGCGTTTTTCTGGAGGGTCCAAACTGTAACAGTTTGGTTGAAAACTATTTATTTAGGCTGGATTTATCAAAGTCTATTAAAACTCTTTTCCATCCCAGTTGAACATTCACTACTATTTATCCACTACCTTTGCAATGAATACTATGAAGAAGTTGAGTAGGTTGACTGACACAAGTGATGGAAAGCCTGATTTCCCCATGACCTCAAAACTCTCCTCCTTAGAGCACATTCACAAACCAATGACTACATCTATAAACAGGATGACACAGCATGAGCACATCATTTAAATCCACAACAATTGTGTTATGCTTGACTGACACTAGGACATTCTTTGAAAGATGATTATTGCCAACATGAGAATCTGACCTTGATTTCCCCACTTGACGAATAACCTCTCTATAAACTCAAAAGTGTCCTCCTTCGAGCCGGAGTTGAACCAGCGACCTAAGGATGTCAGCATTGCCCCTCTACAGTCCTCCGCTCTACCAACTGAGCTATCGAAGGGACCGTTGTTGAGAGAATAAACAATGATGCTACGGGGACCCACAGGGATCGCTTTAGTGCCGCGCTTCAATAACCCTAAAACCTGGTGGACTAAAACCACCAGCCTCAGGGGCCGTTTCTCAATCTCGAGGATGCTGGCTCGGTAGTCGCGTACTTCCAAGTCACTTTCTTCAGAAACGAAGCAAGTATACTTCCAAGCCACGGCTTCGGAAAACAAAGAAGAATGGAACAGGCTAACAAGTGTGCCACTCTCTCTAACGGTTTCAACATAAACTGTACCGAAAATAAATACCTCACGATGTCTATCTAATTATGAACTTGCTTTACTTTCACGGAACACATTTTTGGTGATAACAAATGTAAAAAAGTAACATATTTATCAACACATGTTCTACGCCAGTACATACTTACATTTAAATGTGTGCTGCGTCGGTTCAGCCATTCTCCGCAAGGGTTTTTTAAGTAAGTCTGTGCGCAAAGCATTGTGGGGATTTTAAGGACACTTAGGCCCAATCCCAAACCAAGGACGCGGCATCGGTGGAATTCCAAGTATGCTGGAGATTGGAACAGTACTTCGGCGGCACTCGATGATTGAGCATCCTTGAAATATTGGCTTGGAAGCCAGTTTCCTCGAGATTGAGAAACGGCCAGGGACAGTTTCATCCCACAGGCCATAAGACTGTTAAACACCTGAACTTATGGAAGAACATCCATAACATTCATCTGTTTGCAGCTTATATATATCAATATTCCAATTACTTGTAGACTATAGTGCACTATTTCTACTATTCTATTTCATTTTATTTATAATTTATACATCTCAGTTCAACAATAACCACTATTTATCCACTACTGTGAATAAGTTGAGTAGGTTGAATGTCACCAGTGATGTAGAGTATGATTTCCCCTTAACCTCAAAACTCGCCGGAGATGAACCAGCGACCTAAGGATGTCAGCTCTGCTCTTCTACAGTCCTCCTCTCTACCAACTGAGCTATCGAAGGGGCACAGGAAACAGATATCAAAGTACACTTTATATATCAGATGACATTTAGAATGATAGAAAATGTCATTGCCTTTTCCTCCCGGTGTCTGGATGGTGTTAACTATGGTAAATACAGAGGCGGGAAGTAGTGGAGTACAAATACTTTGTTACTGTACTTAAGTACATGTTTCTGGTATCAGTACTTTACTCCACTACTTGTTTTTAGGGTTAGGGTTAGCTTTTTAACTTTTTACTTTGAATTCTTACATGTTGAACACAAATACCTGTACTTTCTACTTCTTACATGTTGAACCCAAATACCTGTACTTTCTACTTCTTACATGTTGAACACAAATACCTGTACTTTCTACTTCTTACATGTTGAACACAAATACCTGTACTTTCTACTTCTCTCATTTTCCAAACAGGCTGGTTCCTTTAGTCTGAATGTGTGTTTGGTGGCGTGATCATTATTATTTAGACTCATTGCGTGTCTATTGATTTGAACACGATCCGTGTATCCATCATTTCCTGGTCTTCTCTAAAGAAGAGGGACCAATGAAAACGTTGTCATGTTGCCGTTGTTCAGCATGGAAACATTCATTAGCTAACAATGACATTATTGTTCTATTAATATAAAGGGAGGTCAGGTACTCTTTAAAACAGCTGCTAGTTATGGGTACTTTTTACTGAAGTACATTTCAAAGTTCTTTACTTTGACTTGAGTAAAGAAGTTTAGTCAGGACTTCTACTTTTACCAGAGTATTTTTAAACACGAGTATCTGTACTTCTACTTGAGTAAAGGATGTGTGTACTTTTGCCTTCTCTGGGTAAATATGAGATGAGAGCAAAATTGGAACGGTAAACAAGGTCGATCAATTCCTAAATTTAGCTGTGTCTAGTTTTCATTGTTTGTTAACAGACAATACATTCATCTCTCGACCACAAACTGACAGGCCTGCTTGTACAGTAATGATGCAATGCTTCGCTGACACCCAGGAAGTGCTCTGTAAGGTGGATGCTGGCCAATTTGAGTGCATCAGCGTGATTCATCTTCCCTCATAAAAGTCATCCCCATGCAGGCTGTGACTAATAATCGCCCAGTGCTGAGAGACGGTGTTGGGGTTAAATCAGGTAGCTGTTTCAATGCTGTGACAGTAGGCCTGGGACAGTTTCATATTGAAATGTACCGGCTATCTTTTTAGATAAGATTCAAGAGCTTGTGAATAAAAACGTTTCTAATGTAGGTGTATAGTATCCTATGTTTAAATATAGGATAAAGTATTGTATTAGTAATAATATGAATACCGTCCTGTAGTATTTTTGACCTTTTATTTTAATTATCCAACATATTTTACATTGTTTTGTCTGTATTGTTTATATTTGACATAATATTTTTCATTTTATGTTTTTAAAGTATTTAAAGTATTGTATTTTAGTGTCCGAACACACTTCTGCTTCGGGACCTATCTATATATATATTGTTTCAGGAGGAAGTTGTATCTATTTGATGTTGTGTATTCTACAGATATTCTATTTATTTGCATATGTCTACAGTTGATATGTATATACTCACTGTTTTTTTATTTTTTTATTATTATTATAGTCAATATTGTATATCTCTAATCCAATCTAATAATATTATATTCAAGATTCAAATTGTCATATGCACATCAGCTACAGTGTAGAAATGGCAATGATAACCCAAGCTCCTCCAACAATGCAACATAGGTATGCAACACAGTCTCACGGCATTTCGTGTTATAGTCAATCTATTGATTCGTGTTCACCAACACGATTTCCCCCTTTTTGTCCGTGTCACAGAAATATTTTAAAAAATACAGATTTCAGTATTCTGAGGCTCTGAGCCCCATTTCTTTTCCTCGCAGACGGCAACAAAAACTCTGTCATTATACATTTTTAAATAAAAGGGATAGGGTTTGGGTTAGATATTGAGTCAGAAAATGTTTTTATGAACCACACAGCTTCCAGTTTTCGAGGACCCGACCGGACAAAAAGACGTGGTGCAGGCATGAAACATACTACCAATAGAAATACATTGCTTTTAAAATCGTTCTGTGTGACACAAAAAAAATTCGAAAATCGTGTTGGTGAACACGAATCAATAGATTAAATTAATTTTGTGAGTATAACACGAAATGCCGTGAGGCTGTGTTGGTATACACACTGAACAAAAATATAAACGCAACACTTTTATTTTTGCTCCCATTTTTCATGAGATGAACTCAAAGATCTAAAACATTTTCTATATACACAAAATAACCATTTCTCTCAAATGTTGTTCACAAATCTGAAAAGATCTGTGATCGTGAGCACTTCTCCTTTGCCGAGATAATCCATCCCACCTCACAGGTGTGGCATAATTTATATTTTTGTTCAGTGTATATATATATATATATATATATATAGCACCAAATTGCAACTAATCTATATCTACTGTCACTTTTCACATTGAACATGTGCTCTTTTATTAAATAAACTAAACGCTTTCATTTTAAGTTGTGAGTTTAGTGTTTTTGACCCTAAGAAACACTGATGCATTAATCAATAACAATAATCCACAGCTCCTCTCTCTGCTCTGGAGGATTTAAAAATAGATATGACAGGTCCCAATAATAAGCAAGATATGTTAATACACATAGCATAAAGTAAGTGCACATAAAGGTCATGCTGTACTGAGCAGATCAGCTAATTTCAATAGAAAACAATAGTGTTGATTTTTTGTGTAACCTTTAAGTTAGACTCTGGTCTGAGAGTTCCTGTGTGTAAACCATAGACTGTATATATAAAAAGGTGTAAACCTGTCATTAACACAGATGTAACAGAAGTCTGATGGGTTGCTGTGGGTGGATGGCAGACCGTGCCTTTAGTATCCTTCTGTGAGCCGATTCAAACACAAAGCTGGATGATGGGAAATCATTTTAGCTTGTTTATTTAGGTTATGTACAATAAAGCTTCATCACATGAGCCTTTGCAAAAACAGTTTACAACATCCCTCACACACACAGAGAGAAACAAACACCATCTCCATCTACTGAAAGCCATGATGGGCAGCCATATTTCAAGAGCAGTTTCAAAGGTTAGGCATGGGGTGGGCGCAGAAGCATGTGATCATGAGATCTGTGAAGGAGCACATAGTAACAGCAGCAGCAGCAAAGCAGTGCTTCTCACATTTTCACTGGTCCACAAAAACCCTCAGGGAGCTACACCAGACAGATAGACACAGAAATCAAAGAAAGGAGAAGGAAGTCACACACGTGGGAATCATTAGCTTCATTTTCTACAAAAATATTGCACAAAAAATCTGGATATACAGAGAGTGACAGAGATAAACAAGTATGGCAGCCAGCAAGCCAATATCTACTGGAGCAACATATCTGCGACACAAACAGGAGTCTGGCTCTTCACTTCTCCAGGTCCCTCAGTGTGGACCAATCCTGTCAGAGTAAATCTGCCCTCTGCTGACTCACTCAGCTGGTGTTCAATGCACTTTGGGTGATGGCTTTTTATATTTTCAGTGTTAAATCTTCTTTCAGCTTGTTTTTTTAATTCATGCAAGAATATCTAAAAATGTTTTAAGATAACTGTAATCCTAGTCCTAAATGTACCGGTAACAGGCCATGCAACCCTGTCTATTGCCTCACAATTCTGACACACTGATACCACTGACTGCTTTGATAGTTTTAGAAAGCCATTAAACTCATTCTTAGTGACTTATCTTCAACAAACTCAACTGTATTGTATTGGGAATATGTCACATCAAAATAATCTTCAGAATAAAAACCAAAAGCATAGAATCCAAAATGTTCAGTGTTTTAGAGTTTCTGTTAGATGGTACCTCCTTTTACTATTTATTCCAGTGTGAATAATAATACTAATCTCTGAAGGGTAGGAGATGAACAGCAAAGCATTTTGGAGCTGCGTCTGATAGAGTCACTGTAACATGCTACATTAATGCTTGATGTTCAGCAAGGGAATGGGGAAGGCAGTGCCAAACAGCTGTAACACACACAACACACACAGAAGGCTGAACATACATTCATTTGGGCATGAACACAACTCATGAAGGCAAAGGATCTGCACTTTATCACATCATTATTTATCGAGGCATGGAAATCATCTTCATTCACAACAAATACAAATTGGTTAAGAGAATGTTCATATCATGAAAGCTCCTGGATAACATTCCTTTAGAGAAAATAATACAAAAAATGTATTCCTCAAATTGAACCCAATCAAAGTTTTGATCAGTTATTAATGTGTCAACATTTAGTTGACAGGGCTGAACATAATGAAGCTTGGCAAGACAAAACGAGGTTTAAAAAAAAGTATTAATTAACCTCTTTACACCCACAATGGGGAGAGAAGAATATGGGAAATATAGATCAGTAAAACATGTCTGGCCAAACCAATACAAACAAATAAACCAAAAGAAAGAGCAAACTATATACAATATCACAATTAATCCAAGGACGGTGGATACTAAAATCATGCTACAGTAAAAAAAAGTGCTGAAAACAAAGATATGTGTGAGCTCTTGCAGGGTCTGGACTCTAATGACCTTTTCCACTGAGCTGGCTGTCCAATGCTGCTGTCCCAGTAATATTCACACTGTTATTGACTCAAATATATCACCTTCATATGGGCTCTTTACTCACAGTAAAACAAATAATTACGTAACAATAATTCCTTCTCCATTCAAATTATTCAGACGAGTAGACCACAGAAATGTGCACATGTTTTTAAGTCCTTATTTCAAAGCTCTTACAGACAAAGGAGCAAAAGTAATTCAATGCATTACATGACAGTTTGAAGCCACAGAAAACCAGCTGGAGGATCCACATGCAGCACGAATAAGGGTTATATTGTAGCTCTGAAGCTTACCTTTAAAAACCAAGAGCATGGAGACGGCATCACGTTGTGCAAATCAAACCATCAATATATGAATTCTTGTTAGGGAGGTATTTCCATCCTTCATTTTTCATACTAAAATAAAAAAAATGTGTGAATCACACAATGGACCCAACACATCCTATATTTTTAAATGGACTGCTGAAACTCCCCCATCTCTAAAAACAAAGTAGACACATTTTGTTGAGGTGCTCTTGCCAAAGCACATGTTTCTCTTCTTTTCCTCTCTGTGTCCTTCAGTGCAGAGCCTCAACACAGATCTGCTCCTCAGTGATGTTGTCCAGCAGCTGCCCCTCCACAGGGCTGCATATGTCACTGTCATACACCTCCGTCCCCAGCAGGGCCTCCTCCTCCAGCCCCACTCCCTTTGCTTTAAAGCCCTGCTGCTCTGAAGGGGAGGAGCTCTCCACTGACTCCAGGTCCTCGATGCCGGCCCGGTAGTGGATCATCAGCAGGGTGAGGGCCTGGAGCCTCTCCCCAGACTTAGCCAGGGCAGTACTGATGAGGGCCTTGCGGCGGGAATCTGTGGCCTCCTTCTCCTCCAGCAGGAGAGCGTTGTTGTGCTCCAGCTCCTGATCGATCTCCTGCTGCAGCTTGTCCAGCATCAGCTCCAGCTTCTGGGAGCGCTCTTCTGTGGGCAGCCCCCGGTACAGGTCGCGGCCTATCTCCTTGACAGCGATGAACACGCTGTCATCCAGCCCGCCTTCCCTGCGTACGAGTTTGCTGCTGCCCCCGCTGCACACAGGCTGCTTCGAGGGGCTGGCCCCACTAGTGTAGGTCTCAGTGTCGCTGCTTTCGTTGTCTGAAGTGTTTGGGGTGTGCTTGGGTGAGGGCTCCACTGTCCCAGGCACCAAGTCAGCCACCGTCTCAAGCAGCCGAGTTTTTGGCACCTGGCGGAGGTTCAGCAGGCGGGAGCTGGTGTTGATGATATGGCGGGTGAGGCCGGTGGTGGCCCGGTTGATGGTGGATTTGGCTTCAGGGTCAGCTCCCCGGCGCTCAGTGGCTGCCACACAGAGGGGGTTTTCAGCGAGGCACTTGTCCTGGCACTTCTTGTGGCATACGTAGGCGCAGATCATACACTGAGAGGCGGCCTTTGTCCAAACCTTCTTCTTGCAGTATTCACACCAGGTCGGGTTCTGGAACTGTGTGTCCTGGAAGTTGTGGCGAACCTCCACCAGCTGAATGGCTCCATATGCCAGGTCATCCCTCTGCGCAGTGTGGATCTGCTCCCGCTCCCTCTCTCTCAGATCCTCATCTTGCAGACTGCCCTCTCGCTCCCTCTCTATCAGCCCTCCTGGATAGTCTAGCTCCCCCTCGGCGAGGTAACAGAAGTTCAGAGTAACATCTCCGTAACACAGCTTCTCATTGAAGCCTTTGTGGGTGCTGAGACTGCGCAGCGCCGTGCGGCTGACGTTGGCCCTTGGTTCCGGAGGCCCCAGCCTGAAAGTGCTCTGGTACTCTGCTGAAGATGTGGCCATAGATTCCAGGGCAACATGCTCCAGCTGGAGGCTGACGTGACCCAGGCACAATAAACTGCCCAACTTAAAGGGATCTTTGCACCACAGGGCCACATTAAGGTACTTTTGGTTGTTCTCCACCTCAAACACTACAGAGGCTTTGGGCCAGCGTGCGGTCTGGTGACGGATAAGGGTTTCTGGGGATTCCCAGAGGGAGTGGTCCTCCAGACTGTCCCGTGTGCTGCAGGAGCTTTCTGAAGCTCTGTCCTTTGCCTGGTCAGCTCTGCTGCTGTTGGTCACAGTGGGGGGGCCAAGCGGCTCATCAGTGGACTCTGCTGGTCTGGTAGGCTGCTTCACCTCAGCCTGTTTGACACAGGTCTTATCAGTGACAGCTTTGTCCTCATTGGCTCCAGTGAGAGGAGCTTTTTCTGGAGATTTTTCAGAAGCGCTGCTGCTGGAAGTCACGGTAGGAGCCACAGCAGCATTTGTAGCTGTAACAGAATCAATGCCTTCCAAATGACTGGTTTCTGAAGAGGCTGACGTCAACCTTATTTGAGGTCTTGGCGGCACTGGGGGGCGAGAAGGAGGAGGTGGGGGAGGGACAGTGGGACGTTGCAGACCTTCAACAGGATCACTATTGGTCCTTTGTGGAGAGGGCTTTGGAGATTCTTTGGGTTGGGGCTTTAGTGGCGACTGGAGACCCACCAGGTTTAGCTTGCGGTTGAGTATGGGGGATATGGAACCGAGGGGCTTGGAGGCCAGGCTGGCCACAGTCCTTTTGGGGCTTTGATTAACGGTGAGTAAGGACTCCTCCTTGGCATCACTGGTATTTGTGATGCTGCTGTTAGGGCCAACATTCTGGCTAAGTTTGGAGTCCACAATCAACTCTTCAAACTCAGAGTCCATGTCTTTGCTGTCTGATATGTCGGAGAGGGTGGTGATGGGAGCTGGGTCTTCTTCATACCCCCCCGGATGAGGAATAAATCCTGTTTCCTCTAGCTGCCCAAACCCTTCCTGAAGAGTTCCAAGGCTTCCAAAAGAGTGAGCCTGGTGACGGACGGGCCTCTCATAAAGAACCACCACCCTCTCTCCGGCCTGCCTCAACAGTTTGGGCACTTGAACTGAAGATGTCACCTTGACTCCTGTAGAAAGTTCAAGAACAGGAAATACATTTTCAGTACAGCAAAGACTCTTTTTTTTTTTTTAAATCTTCTGATGGTTACCAAATAAAAACATCTCAAACCTCCAATGGCGATGAGCCGATCTCCCCTCTGCAGGTCTGCCAGGGCTGCGGGGGAGTTGGGTGTGACTGTCTCGATGCTGACGTGCACTGCATCCCCCTCACTGGCAGGGACGTGTCTGAACGTCATCCCCACGCTGCCACACGCCCCCTTGATCACCTCCGTCTGATGCACACATGTAACAAGAGAACATTTACAATGAAAACCAACATGGATTTAGAGGTCAAAGGCCACAACTTATCTACTTTATGTATTGCTAGAATTGTGTACAAAAACATGATTAATTAATTATGGTCAATACAGTTGAAATATTCCTTTCATTTTTTTTTGTTGGAGTCACATAGCATTTATGGTGCACTTTGCTCCTTTAACAGTTACATTTTTTTAGTGACCCAAAAATATGAAACATACCAAGGTACAATAAACAAGTAAATCAACAAGCAAAAAATATATATAATAAAAATAATAATAAATAAATAAATAAAACAGTAGACAGCGAGGGTTTTCGGTTTCAAGGATGAAGAAAAAAAACAGCAGGGATTATACAAAAGCACGATTAAACTAAAGGAATGGTCGTCTAAAATACATCGCTTCCACCATTTTCAAGTTTCTTCAAATTGGTTCTCCTGAAGTTTCAGGGAAAAGATATTTCCATTGACAATATGTTGTTTATTATGTCATGCCAAGTGTTTATAGATGTGTCAGGTTTGAGCCATTTCCTTGTAATTGCTTTTCTTGCAGCTACTCTCAGTATTCCAAATAGGCGTTTAGTTTTGGAGTTAGGGTGTATAGAATGTAGAAGCCCTAAAAGCAATGTCCCAATTTAAGGTGATTTTTGTCAGAGTCAAACTTTGGCCAAAAAGTAGTTATCCATGGACATGCCCAGAATAAGTCACACTTCCTGGGAGAGCTTGAATGATGGGCCGAATGAATTCCTTTTTCACTACAAAGTCTGCACTTTTGATATAATATTGCCAACTTTCATATCTCAACATTATTGTCTTTCCCTATAGTCACATTAGATATTAAGAGAATTGTATGAATTTTATATTTCTTCATGTTAAAAGTCTAAAACTAGCAACTAACAACAGATACTGCTAATTTGTCAGGTTATGTAAACAAATAAGAATGAGAATAAATAGTACGTTGAAAAATGCTTCATTACTGACATCGGCCTCCAGCACTTCAACATGAAACTCAAACTGAAAGTGGTATTGTATGGCACAGGAGAAAGCTAACTGCAATCAACCCCCCCCCCTACCCCCTGCTCTAATAACAGCCACTTCTTACAGCTCAAGGCACATATCATAACACACCTGTTGTGACGCGGAGGTCATCTGTTCTAAGCAGGTCGTATATAAAAGCTAAGTGTGTGTCTCCTATAGTGATGAGCATCAGTGAATTTGAGTGAAACCCATGTGATTTCCACTTTGATTACAAGAGACTTTCAGCTTTCCAGACACATGTATGGTAGGATATGTTCTGGAATAGAGGAAGGGCTAAATGAGGTGGAGAGGGGGAAGGCAGAGGGTGGAGGCAGAGGAGGGTGGTACAGGTGTCCTGGTTTAAAAAGAGAAAAGAGGGGCCGGCATGATGTGGGTAGACGGAGACGAATGACTGTCATTTCCCCTCCTGTCATTTGTTACTGTTCTGGGTGAAGGCAGTGATTGAGTTAGAGCTGGCCATCCAATAAGCAGATAATGTACAAGCTGAAACAAGGGGTGGGGGTGGGGGGGGCAGATTCACTGAAGGCTAAGGGGAAGTCCTGATCCATCCTCATGTTAGCCTGATTAGTAGCACAGCCCATTCTTTTAGTATGAGGTACACAGCAGGAAGCATACACCATTCTGCAGTGTTACCAGACTCAAGCTATCTGGAAATACATTGAATCATGAAATCATGACAAATGCTGGAAAAATGTAGATTGGCAAGACAAAAAAAGTGTTTTAAAAGTATTTATTATAACCCGGAAACTATATACAAGATCACAATTACTCCAAAGGGATTTGTGGACAAAGACAGTCACTGCTGAATTTTTCTTTTCATGTATGGTGTCCTTGGGTATTATGAAAGTCGCCTCGAAATAAAATGTATTATTATTATAAACGATAACTGGTAAAATTACAGTTTTTGTCAATGGAATCTGGCTGCTTCAGCGAGAGCATAGATAGCTGGACTGACTGCAAGGTAAGTCTCTAAAAACCATTGTGAATATAGTGTACACCCAAACTGCTGCTGCCCTTATCTACAGCAGAGCATAGCCTACAGTCCATGCTGGTCCTCCTGTGTACTGTAGATAATACACTGTCTATGGATAAGTACCTCACACAACCCCACTTCAAAACAGCTGAACTATCCCTTTAAGTTCTCTGAGGTTTAATCTGATCTGGTCGTGTTACCGCTCTTCCATGAAGACACTAACAACATTGCAGAGGGGGGGTTGCTGGGGGGGGAGTGTGCAGGCTATAGGCCTCTTCAGCTTCACATCACACAATGACCATTACTGAGGCAGGTGGGTTCTGCTGGAAAAACACTCTGGCTGCGTACGACAACAGGAGATGCAAAATCAATTTGACATTAACAGGATATTGTAGTGGAATAGCACATAATCATTTATCCTCATATTGCAGCTGATTGAGTCAATCAGCTCATTGAGTTATTTACCCTGTGCTGCATCACTTCTGATCACAATTCGGCTGGCAAATGTATTACGCTATACAGTTGAATGTATATTTATCATATGTATTCAAACCCATTACGTTAACCCCACATAACTGCCTTGCTACTACTCCGTCAGAGAAAGCATGGCGCCCACACTGTCACCTTCTGCCCTCCCTGATGGAATATAATCTCTTTCTTAGAAAACAGAACAGAAAGGTTGACAATTGAATGATATAACCAGGATGTCAAAGTTACTCAACAAAAACAGGTTAAACAGATCACAGTGTAAAGTGAACCATAATGTCTTCAGATGTAATTAAGAAGCAACACTGTTCCTGTGCAGCAGGGAAGATCTTTATTCAATGCTACAAGCATTAAAAGAGAAAGCAGCATGTGTATGCATTTGGTTTCAGTAGCAGGCATAGATCACAGGTGCTCGGTAAAGATGTGCCTTACTCGGCTAATGACAGCTCCACTCATTTAAATATAGAAATGTAATGATTTTAGACAGGGGTCTCCAAAACGTCAGCTCGCGAGCCCTCAATAAGTAGCTTGCCAAGCAAATCCAAAATGTAAAAAATACACACCAAAAAAAGGAAATGTAATTAAAAGAATCTACCCTATGCATAAACGAAATCTCAATCATAGTGAACTCTATCTACTTACTTCAACTCTATATCTATCTAACACGACTCCTGTAATTGAATATCGATCAATCACGTTCTTGCTTGATTTGCGGGACCAGCGTTGCAGTCGGGAAGAAAAGGAATGTGGAGCGGCAGCTCCCCGCTTCATAAGGAGTGTGACCTTTCCTTCTGGCAGATTCTACACAACACATCAGCCCCATTGAACAGCCTATCGTTCCCGCCTATATACAGCACATGAGGGCCAGAGCTTTACTCTGTGTGCGTTGCAACTTGCTGATATATTTATTGCACTTGACACGCACACACACGGGCGTAATCTCCACTGGGGACAGGGGGGACATGTCCCCCCCACTTTTCGAAATCCCGTTTGTGTCCCTCCACTTTACAAATATGTTTATTATTATTTTTTAACGCAAGCCGTCATCGCCACGGAGGAGCACACAGCCTATGTGAGCGAGCGAGACAGAGAGAGAGCGCGAGCGAGACAGAGAGAGAGAGAGAGAGAGAGAAAGCACCAGTTACGGGGATTTTTGTTGTTAGCATCTGGTGCTCTAGCTCAGAGCTAACGGATATTAGAAGCTGTTTTTACAACAAGGAGAGGGAGAGCTCTCTCCTGTCAGACTGAGAGGCTGATAACTACAGCTCAGGTGATGAAAGGGACAGAGTGTTTGGATAGTTCACTTTAGTCTAAATGACCTCAGTGTGTCAAATTCTTTGGTCATCTATGCAAACAAATATTTCCAATGCACACCTTTATCTATTTATTATAGTTGTAAAAAATAAATTAAGAAATATTTCCAATGTGTACTATAGGACAGTACAAAACAAAAAATACAGTTTAAAAGGGGAGTGATTAGTAAAATATGCATAAATAAAAAGAAAGAATGCTAACTACATAAGATGAGAATGAACAAGTTGAAATGATTTGTTGCTGGTTGTGATCATATTCTAAAGATGTTTGGATTATTGAAAAGTATACAGCTCCCTTCCATCTGAGTGTTGAGAGCTGTATCCATCAATTCATGTTGTGCTCAAAGTGCACCAGATTGATGCTTTTCACTTCAAAACATTAAAAAAAAATCTCGGACCCCCCTAGAGGATGTGAAGTCCACCCCCAAATAAAGCAGGTAAAAAGTATTAAATTGCATAAATGTTTTTTTAGTAAACACTGAAAACGGGTTCCACAGACCCAAACAGCACAAAGGTTAAAGGTGAGCATATAATAATGTTAAATTCTGTTAAATATATACACTGCAAAGGCTAAAAACCAAAAAAAAGAGGAGTAAAAGTAGCTCACGACTTGTGTTATTTTTTTAAAGAAGCTCTCATCCTAAAAAAGGTTGGAGACCCCTGATTTTAGAGATAGATATCTCTTGCTAACTGCACAGCCGTCAGAGGCTGGATGCCGCTGGCCAACGCTGCACTCTGAATGGCCATGAGTGTGTAAGGGGCGGGACTAAGGGAAGGGTAAATGGTGTTAAGGGGGTATATTTATGTCGAGAAAATATTTCTAACACCATATTAACAGCTTGAACTGTTGACACAAGACAGGATGGATCCACTGATATCTACAGTTCACGCCAACATGTGAATTAAGACATCAGAACATTCTACTGTTCTCCTTATTACGGTGTTTACTATGAACAACTGACCGTTTTCACCATCTCTGCAGACTTTTCTGCCACAATGACAGAACAGATGTTTAAAATACCAAGCAGGTGTGCGGTGTAAAGCAGCCGCTGAGTGTATAATGACCCAGAATCTCCATGGCGGTCTTCCCACTTCATTCATGTTTGATTGCACTGCAAAATTGTTAAAGTCTTATGTATTGTTAAAATATGTTCACATTTACTTGTTTTGT